GAGAGAGAGAGAGCGGGAGGGAGGGAGAATGAATATGAATATGCTTGGGATTGATCATGAGGTTCTGCAACATACTGCTTCTTTCTAGGCTAAAGTTTACCTAGACTGATGTTACACTTTAGGCAACTTGGTATTAGAATGACCTTTATATACAGTTAATAGACATTGAAGTAAGTTTGTATGGGGAAACCCTCTTCATGCACTATAAAATGTTGAATCAAAAGGATTGTCTTTCTGATCTTAAGTTTTTTTTCATTATGCCATAAATATACTCCAAATAAAGTACTGAAGTTGGAAGGAATACCTACTAATATTTGTAATTTGTAATGCACTTAATAATCTCTCATGTTGAAATGTTTTAAAGACTTAGCTCCATTTGGAAGGGACGAACACATCAGCAGATATTTCTTCTAGCTAAGAAATGCATTGAACATACGTATCATAGACCAAGATTGATCTTTCAAAGTTGAGAAGTCTTATCCTTTCATTAAGTGTCAAAGATAACTATGACATGTATCCTACATCATTATTATTATTTACTATTATTTATCGCTGTGCTGGAGATAGAACCAAAGCCCTCATGCATGCTAGGCAAGTGCTGTTCTACTAAGCTACTCCCACAGCCTTATCCTATCCTTTGTCACTTAGGCTTTGGTTTATTCTTATCCATCCATCCATCCATCCATCCATCCATCCATCCACCCACCCAGGTTGAACCTCACCTTGCACATGCTAGGCAAACACTACCACAGAGCTATGTTCCCAGGCCAAAGCTACTTTTGGTCTATTAAAACTATGTACTGGGTGCTGCAGAGATGGCTCAGAGGTTAAGAGCACTGGGTGCTCTTGTAGAGGACCTGGGTATGATTCCCAGCACCCACATGGCGGCTAACAACTATCCATAACTTAGTTCTAGGGGAGTTAGTTGACACCCTCTTCCAACCTCTGTGGGCATTGTCTGACACAGGTGCACTTACATACATGCAAGCAATATGCTCATACACATAAAACAAAAATAAAAAAAACTATGTACTGATACTTTGATAGTCAGTCTATATTATATACCTATATTTGGATAAAATTATCAAGTTGTAATTATTAAGTTCTTTAACTATGAAATAAAAGATCACTATTTGAATATCCAGAGATATTTTTCAAAGTTTCATTTGCTTGTATTATTTGCCAACTTCCTCTGAAATTCTCTTGCTTAAACCATCTGAGATCTAACAAAATAGAATTTAAGTTGTATTAGCAGTTTTATTTACAGTGTAGCTATAGATAATTAATTATACTAACAGATCTCTCAGGAAACTGAATGGAATTCCCCCTACTCTGGCAGTTGATCACAGTGTAGTAATTAGCTGGTTACTTTCCCATCTTCTCATTAGATAGGGACCTCTTTGAAGTAAGACTTGTTGCCTTGTCCACTATAGCCCAAGCAGCTAGCACAGTCCTGGTCTCTAGCAGACACATTATAAATATCTATTGAATATACAAATTCAGTGGAGACAGAGACACTTCCATAGAAGGTGACATTTTACTTGAGTCTTAAGGAGAAATCTGTCAGACTAATTTAAATGACTGAGTGTTAGAGCAGAAGAAATAATATGAATAAAACCAGATAGCCACTCAGAGAAATTCAGAAAACTAGGTAGAATTAGAGCCTACCTATTTTTAACCTGCCCATTACCTGATAATCATAGGCACTGACAATATGCAAGGATTAGAAATGTTCTTTACCAATTTCTCAGAGTTTCAACAAGGATGTACGTTATTTAGCTATACCAACAAGAAATCTGACTTACCAACAGGATACTTGGCGATGGAGCGAGTAGTTGCATATTTGAGGGAAGGATGCTCAATAAGATAAACAAAGCAGGGTAATGGAGCCAAAGAAGTCTGAAAAAAATCAGAAACCTCTTTCTTAGTGTGAAAAGACCATATGCTTTGTTCTCATAGCTGCTACAAAGTCAATAGTGCCCCCAATATGCTTTATTTCATCAACTAAAATTAGCCAGATGACCTTATGAAACACTCTCTAAAACCCAATGTTGTTATAGCTTTGAAAATGTACAAATGAATCATATATAAAGCCAAATTATGTTAGCTTTTTGGATAAAATGTACATGAAAACATTCTCCAGGGCCAAAATCAAAGGTCCAGGTCTCTACAGATGTTGGACAGGTCCCCTCCTCCTGCTCTTAGTTTGATATTTGAATGTGAGTTATATGGCTCCATATCTTATAACCCAAACATCCAGCTTTCTCTTCAATGAGGAAAAAAGAATAGTTGCATTGTGGTTTCCTGCCAGAAGTGCTAGCTAGTCACTGTCAAAGATCAAGGGAAATAAAATAGTTACCCTTTACAGTAGGCTATGTCTTATGCTAAGTATGTCACTTTATCTCACTGAAGGCTTTTAGCAGTGGAATGGATAAGTGTTACTACGCTAATTTTAGAAAATGAGAGAAGCAAGGTTTTTGGAGAGGACTATCTTGTCCAAAGTTAATGAGTAAGAAAGCCAGGATTTGAACTCAGGTTCTACTGGCCACCGAATCAAATTCATTTTTTTATTTTTATTCATTTTAGACAGGATCTCCTGTAACCCCAGCTGGGCTGGAACTCACTAGGTAGACCAGGTTGGCCCTGCCTCTGCCTCCTGAGTGCTGGGATTCAGGCATGCACCACCATATCTGGTGTCTGAGGGAAGTTCTTTCTAAGTCATATAAGCATCCATGAAGGAAGAATATGCATTATAAAGAAATAAATATGAAACTCATTATTTGTATTTTTGCTGTTGTTTTCTTCCAGTTTTTTTTCTAGCTATAGGCACTGGATGGCTGAATATTTCCTTCTATAGATTTTTTGAGCCATAAAATGATGAGCTGAGTATCTATCAGTCCTATTAGCATTCAGCCATATCATCAAAGCATGGAAGGATTCTCCTGGCTACCTGGGCTAAACTCTAGAAGTACTCATGAGATACATAATAAAAGATCAGATGCGTGTCCTCATTGAAATCACATGGGGACAAGGGCAGGACAAAGGAAGCCAAATATTTTATTGTTGGACTTTTGTCAGCATTAAATGATTTCTCGAGCTTCTTAAAAAGCTGTCATTGAGACCCTTCAACCACATCACTTAAATTTTTGGTATTAATTTTATCAACTCCATTGTAGCTGTGCAGCACTAGACTGAGAACTATTGGAGACTGATCGCTACTGGTCGAGGGAGAGTATGCCTTACATACAGTCTCTACATGGGCTGATTAGACTCCAGTGGACAAATTTACACTGAAGGATGACATCTAGGTACAAATGCTTGACTGGATAGGACTTAACATGTATGGCAGAATACATGAGGTCCGGTGGAGGGATGGGGGAGGCATGGATGGGGTAGGCGGTCTAAATTTGATTAAGAACTGTTGTATGAAAATAATAAAACCTCAATAAAAATATTAAAAGTATTTTTAAATTTTATGTGTATGAGTGTATTGCCTGCATGTATGTAAACGCGCCTGTCCCATGCAATGCTCACAGAGGTCAGAAGAGGGCGTTGAATTCCCTGGAACTGGAGTTGGGGATGATTGTTAGCTACTACGTGGATGCTGGGAACCAAACATGGGTCCTCTGCAAGAGCAGCCAGTGCTCTTAACCACTGAGCCATCTCTCCAGCCCCTAAAATTTATAATTTTATAAACACAAAAATCCACAAATGTTTTCTTATTTTCTTTATTGCGGTTATTATTTTACTTATTTCTTCTGCTCTTCTCCTGCCCATCACAGCTGCCTCTGTGTCCTGTACAGTACCTCATCCAATCTCCCAGTTTGGCTATGGAACAGAATCCATTTCTATTTCTCTTGCCTTCCTGACCCTTTTCTGGTAGTTTCAAAATATATTTTATTTATTTATTTATTATTATTATTTTTGTGTATTTCAGGTAATAGATCTTAATCAAATTTAGACCCCCTCCCCTATACATGCTCCCCCATAGACCTCCCCCCCACAGGATTTCATGCATTCTGTCATATATGTTAAGTGTTATCTGGTCAAGCATTTGTACCCAGAGGTCCTTCAGTGTAAGTTCATCCATTGGAGTCTAGTCAGCCTACCCAGAGTCTCTCCTTAAAGAAGATCTACTTTCCCTCATCTAGCAGTAATCAATTGCTAATAGTTCTTTGGCTAGGGCTGGGGACTGCTGCCCATTTCCCTCGTTCTATGCTGGGTTTTGTCTGATAGAGTCAGTATGGGTCTTGTGCATGCTGTCACCATTGTTGCAAGTTCATCTGAGCATGTTCCCAGTTGCCTGAAAGCCTGTTTCCTTATGTTCATGCACCAACCCTGGTTCTTACAATCTTTCTGCCCTGTCTTCCACAATGGTCCCTGAGCTGTGGGTGGGTTTTATGTCTTTAAATGACTTAAAAAGAAAGATCCCAGGCTAACATAAGTTAATAACATTGACATTACCTTAATATAATGGAACATCTGAATTAAAAAATCATTCTTGGAATCTTCAAGAATAAGAGTGCAACCCATGTTAGAAGTAGTGTTGTGAAGGTCAAAAATTATATCATAGGAATCTTCACTATTTTTTGGACCAAACAAATGGTTTATTTCTTGAGCCCTTCTCACTTCATATGGCAAATCATCTGATATCTCTTTGCTGTTTTTAGCAGAAAGAAAAAGATTAACAACATCTATGGCCAATACACAACAGAACACAGTGTACAAAGAATCAGTTATCAAACTTCAAACATCTATTTTTTTATATAGGGTCTCACTATATAGCACTGGTTGGCCTGGAACTCACTATGTAGACCAGGTTGACCTTGAACTTACAGAGATTTGGCCTGTCTTTGCCTCATGAGTGCTGGGATTAAAGACATTAACCACTATGCCTGGCCTCAAACCCTAAATATTTAAAATCTGGGAGAGACATGAAAACTTACTTGAAACCTCTGTAAATGAAAATTACACTTTTTCTCCATCCAGTTAATTCCATAATAATGTTGCACTGGCATGCGTACAAAATAATTAGGTTGATTTATGTACCTGGTCATAGGCAGAACAACTCAAATAGAACTTATCATATGACTTCAACCTTGAATAAAATTCATCCTTTAATTTGATAAGCACTTTCTTGGTAGTTGTGGTGCACTGGTTATTCATTATGGGTGAGGTCATGAAACACAAACCTCTCCTTCACTCTAGTTCTAATGTCAAGAAAAGGTCAAATTTAGGTGCTCATAGCTTTATTAGGTATTTAAGTTGAAGGCTAGGAACTACTAGTGGTCTAGGGACAAGGTTTACCAATGACAAGCCAAAAGGCCTCCAAAAGTACATATTTTGTAAATATACATATAGGTATTTTTCTGGGACAGGGGTTAGTAGGTGATTATTGTATTCTTGAATTGGTCTCTGTCTGCTTTCTCCTTGCTGTTTACGATAGTTTACATTTTTTCTTACTGAGTACCATTTTTTTTATAGTGCTGAGGATGACTTAACCTTGGGCGTCATATATGCTGGGGGAAAGCTCTGTTATCCGAGTTACAGGCCTCCCACCATTCAAAATTTTTTTTAGGTAGAGTCTTGCTAAGTTTCTCAGGCTAGTTTTGAGCTTGTATGTAGCCAAGGCAGGAGGACTGTCTCCTGCCTCCTGCCTTAGCTGGGGTAATAGTCCTATACAATCAGGCTACTATATATACAATAAGGGTTTAAAATTTTTTTTCTCTCTACTAACTCACTCAACCACATTTTTTTTTGACAGGGTCTCCCTATAGCTCAAGTTGGCCTAGAACTCACTATGCAGACCAGGCTGGTCTCAGTCTCACAGAGATCCACCTTAGTCTGCCTCCTGAGTGCTGGGATTAAAGGTGTGTGCCACTACATCTGGCTCAACCACACTTCTATATAATTCCACCTACTTCTATTCTCTAGCTATTTTTTCTAGTTTGTACCTGAGTATTTCATGCCTGGAAATAACACTGTAATCAAGAAGGTGTGGCAGTCATTTTGTGACTATGAAGTGAAATCCTAAGAAGAGAAGGTGCATGTGACAAAAAGTACAGTGGGAAGACAAGAGTCTGAGGCACTGATGACATCAGGGAGCCACTGCACTGCCTGATTTATTTATTTTTATTTTAAAAACACTTTATTATTTTTATTTTATGTGTATGTGTGTATTGCCTGCATGTGTGTAAGTGCACCCACATCATGCAATGCCTGCAAAGGTCAGAACTTATTATTTCTAGAGCATTCTAATACATTTGGATAAATGACACCATTACCCACTCAGATGTTTAGAACCAAAGTTTTAGAGATTTAAGTTCTGAGAGACAGCAAACACTCTGACTTCTCATGCCTGGGGTCTAGTTACCACTGAAGAGTCCTACAGGATCAAACTGAAAGACTAGGCAGTGGCAAGACCCATGTAGGATGTTGTCAGCGGTTACTGCAACAGGTTGCTTAGATCTATTCTGGACAGGAGGCTTTAAAAGAATTTCCAGCAGGAGAAAGGCATAAGATTTCCATGTTAGGATGATTCTTATGGCTACAATATGGAGAACAGATGGCAGGAAACCTGAGAAAAACTGGACACATGTAGATCCTATAAGAGGTGATTCTAACTGTCCACAGAAGAAATGAATTTACAGCAGGGAGAAGGGAGAAGAAGGCTGGTTTTGTGGAATTCATTTGTATTTTTTTTTATTTTTACAGAACTGGGGATTGAACCTAGGGTCTCATGCATGCTAGGTAAGTGCCCTCCCAACTGAGATACACTCCCAACCCACATTTACTATTTATTTTGGGACAGGGTCTTGATAAGAACTAGGGTAACCTTAACTCATTCTGTAGCCAAGGCTGGCTTTATCCTGCCTCAATTTCCTGGGCAGCTGAGATTACAGACCTGTGATCCCCAGACCTGGCTGCTTTGTGGAGTTCTTGTGCAGAACTATTAGACATGGGTTGGAGAACTGAGACTGAGATGCCTTCTAAAGGGGATTTGGTGGGTAATGGTGCCATTACTGAAACGAGGAATATAGGGAAAGGAATGCATTTAGGAGGCTAAGTCCTTTGGTTTATTTAGCTCATAGCTTCATAACCACCCTGAGTCAGAAATGACTAGTATTAGACCAAGAAGCAGACGGTGAATCCAGTTAAAATGCTGCAGTCTTGAAAGGCACACAATTCGGTGTTCCTACTAAGAAAATTCTACCTAGTGAAATTCAGAGTTATTTGGGAAGTTGACATCCAGATTAAAAGATTCATTTATTAACAAATCTTATAAAATATGAGTTAGTTGATGCTATTTTAGGGAAATAAATATTAGTTGTACTGACATAATGTCAGTTATGAAGATAAAGCATTTCTGAAATTGAAATTCATGCTAGAAAAATCATTTGGCATACAAAGTATGACTGCTATATAATTTTCTTATATATTTTATAAAGTGAGCATATTTTTATTAAAATCAGTATTCACCTTCTGTTCTGTGGTAAGACTAGACCTAGGAATTCTCTATCACAACTTAGCATTTATCAAAAAACAAGTACATAGCTAGGCCCAATGGAATAGGCCTATAATGCCTGCTAACTGGCAGGCTGAGGAAGGAAGATCAATAGTTCAAGGCCTGCCTGGGCTACAAAGTGAGTTCAAGCCCAGGGTGGTTAATTTAGTGAGACTCCGTCTCAAAATAAAAAATAAAAGAGAGTTGGGGGTATAGTTGCCTAGCAGGCATGAGGCCATGGGTTCAAACCCAGTATGAAAGAGGAGAGGGAGAGGGAGAGGGAGAGGTTGAAATTGAGGGGGTCTCTCAGAAAAGGAGTAACCTTGTGAATTAAAAGGGCTGATGATTGAAGCCGAGTGTGTGTGTGTCTGTGTGTGTGTGTGTGTGTGAGAGAGAGAGAGAGAGAGAGAGAGACACAGAGAACAAGTACATTGTGTAGCAAACCATGGTGGGGTAATATGCTCAAAGCACCAAAGCACCTGCAGGAAAATGGCCTTATATAATCGAGTATAGTAAACAAATAAAATAAGTATGTAAAGTAGTGTGGTTAGGTGTTTCTCTGGCTGTCTGTATCTTAGCTAGCAATCTACTAACCATTTGGGGGTAAAGACAGTCTTGTACACAGCTTTGTACTTTCACAGTACCTGACATAGTAAGAAAAATGGATGTTTAATAGTGTTTTTAGATAAATGAAAGGAGTGGTAAAAAGTGGAGTGGTAAACACTTGGCAGCATAAAAACAAAAAATGGTAATTACCAACTTAGTGTATTATGATGGCATACACTATATGGAATGTATTACAAATAATCTGTAACTCTAATTCAGAAGGCTTAGAGACAATATCTTCAGCTCTCCTTTTTCTCAAGGATGATAATCCATCACTAAAGAGAAATACATCTATCCTTAGGCCACAGAGTGGCCTGATGCTTTCTGCCAATGGATACTTACTCTTTTACTCCACAAATTGTTCAAAACCTTGTAATTTTTCTCAGTTAGAACTTTATATACTACCATAAACATAGTTTCAAGAAAACATAGCAGGTGAATTTCCTAGAAAGTAAACAAGTTTACAAGTGTAGTGACCAAAACTAATTTAGGCTTTTATTTTTTGAGACAGGGTCTTATATAACCCAGGCCAGCTTTGAACAGGATTATATTTGTATTTTTCAAGATATCATTTTAAAATAAAAAATTTCCTATGTATCGTGTTGTACTGTATATAATAAATATAAAAAAATTAGTGAAGAATAGCGTGGTGTTTAATAAAGTTTACAGAAGAGCATGTGAACACCCAGTTTTGGAAGTACATAGTTCACAATGGGGCGTGATTAAAAGTGAAAGTGACCTATTCAGTACAGACACTCTATGTAAGGATACGACTATTTATCATGTGCACATGCGTGCTCTCTCACAACAGCTACCACTTTTCACACATACCCACTTTCATAGAATATAGAACAGAGTCTTACCTAAGATTTTCAAGGTTGAAAACACGATTTAGGTCACAGTCAATGTATCTGGTACATTTTTCCACTGCTCTTGGGTTGGTAATAAATGGTTTCACTTCCAGACCTGTTCTCTGAATTTCAGCGCCATTCCTTAGCCAGTGCTTGACTAGAAACACTCCTGTCAGTTCATTGCCGTGAGTTCCTCCAAAGATAGCAATCTTTTTTATAGGTTCTTCAGCAACCCAACATGAGGCCATTTTACCAAGTAGGTTTGTCTGATTTCTGCAGTTCAGAATAGAGGTCAAACAGAGGTTAACTCCCAAGAAAAGTTTAGAAATTTAAGTCTAAGTAAGACTTTAACCAAAGTACAAAGTACAGTGGAATATTTAGAATTTTTTTTCTGTCACAGCTTCTGAGCTGTTTGTTCTATGGACACTCCCTTCTGTAGCCCAACCCTTTACCATATTTGGATTAAAATATGCAAAGACCAAACAGAGATGCAGCTGTTAACTTCTAACTCCCTCAGATGGTCAGCAGATCTAAGTACAATAATAAATTAGCGTCTTCTACTAAGGTAAAAATTCTGTCTTCTGTTCAGCTAGAATGCCCTCCAACAGGGCTTTCATGATAAATAATGATAATAATAAAAATATATAAAGCCCAATCCTCCAAAATATAAAAATGTGGCCCATTCAGTATTTATGTTTCCACTGACATTTGAAAACACTTGTGAAATGGGCACAGACATTTTCATGATCTGAAGATATTGGAGTCTCATTTCCATTAACAGCCAAGGGCTGATGCTCCTCCTGAACCAGTATTTTTTCTTTCAGCATTCACTTTCACAGTCAGAGACACAAGAACCCAGATCACTGGGATCAGAGTGACTGAAAGGCCAGTGAGATGGCTCAGTGGGTAAAAGTACAGTGGGTAAAAGCACTTCCCATCCAAGCCTGACTCCCTGCGCTCAATCCTGGGAGAGAACCAACTCCTGAAAGTTGTCCTTGGACCTCATATCTGTGCCTGTACTCACATACAAATCATATACACACATTAATAATAAATTATAGTTTTTAAAATAAAAGTGACTTTGAAACATCTTTAATTTCTTCTTCATAAAGATCTTCATAATTCTATGTCCACTTCTTTAGAAATTTTGTCCAAATACTAAATCAAAAGCAAATGTTAGTAATTTTCAAATATCTATGATTCCTGAAAATGTCTTGGAACATTATATCATATTATCAACACATATTATACATAGTATAAGTTATATAGACTAGTAATGTTAGTAATTTTCAAATCTCTGTGATGCCTGAAAATGTCTTGGAACATAATATATATCATATTAACAACACATATTATACATAGTATAAGTTATACAGACATGGTCTCATTTACTGACATCAAAGACCCTCTATTGGAATATGTTGTTCTAAAGGGGTCTTATCAGGAGAAAGTATCCAGATGACTACATATATATCTAAGATGACTACATATCTTTGTAGAAGTGACTCTGAGTCAAATCTGATTTGAGTTTACACAGAAAGTCAAACACACTCCAATACTAGAAATATTATGTATTAGTAATGCCAGGTTATTTGGAAGGCTACAACAAAAGTAGTCATTACAGTGCCTAGTAGTTTAACCTATAACGTTTTCCCACGTACATTAGCTCAATTTATCCATAAATCCACTTTATAAAATAGAATGGGCTGGACTAATATCCCCATTGCAGGGATAAAAGAAAGAACTGTTAAGCAACCTGCTTAAGTTTCCACAGTTACATAAAAGAAAACCAGGCCTGGGATCCATGTTTCTCATTAAGTCCACTGTTTTTCACAGGACAATAGGGTGCCTCTGTTAGTTTTGGACTCCTCTGAACTTCTAATTTTGGTCCTTCAGAGTTCATATAAACAGCCAACACAGTGTAGAATCACAAAACACAGAAAAAAATACATGATGGAAATATAAAATAGGAAAGTTTTATAATATTTAATAAACCACTTCCTTGATATTTAAGAGATTATGATGCAGAGATAGAAAAATGCAAATTAAACCTAAGTTTATACATTGAAATTACTGCTGTAATCTAAGATAAAGTCCCTGGAGCATTTGATTTTCTATCTACATTAGTATACACTTTACACTTCAGAGAGATGATAAAAGTCCACAAAAGTACAGAGATGACAATTCTCTTGCTCCTTTTATTTTAATTAACTATGGTGAATTAGTAACACTCTGCTGTGTTTGCTTCTTTCCTGCTGATCCGCAGTTTGTTCTGTCCTTTGCCCTAGTCTCCTCTGGAAATGCTGCTTGAGTTACTCATGGCTGGCACCAATGATTTGCATTTTGAGGCTTGTTATATGGAATTTTAACAGGTCAGCATTTTGAAATACACATTCACATTCATAAAGTTTCTGTTACAAGTCCAAATGAATAACTTAGTGGGCAATGGATGCACTGCAGTAATTTTTATACTTACCTTGTTTATTGTGCACAGTTTGTCCTCTGTAGAAATCTTTGTTAGAAAAAGGAAAGCATTTCCTTAGAACTGGAGCAACAGAGGCTTTGATACTCTTATACCAAGTTAACTTCCAAAAGATTTTTAACTCCCTGTTTTCCAAGGCACCAACTCTCTGTTTCTGAAAATACACTGGGCCCTGAAAAAAACTACATATTTTTATTAGTTTGTTTCTTCTTTGAATCTGCTTTCTAGTTGTCAGTCTCTCACTTGGCTATTGATTATTAATGTTCTGAAGTACTTAAAAGCCACCCTGCTTCCATACTCCCTTTTCAGTTCCTTCTGGAAGCATCTCCTGATAAGTCAGTTTCCCATGCATCTCCATCTCAGCCTGTGTCTGAAGGAACCCCCCCGACACACACACACACACACACACACACACACACACACACACACACACACACACAAAGAGTAAGTCTAATAGTGTGATCCTCCTATTTCAGTCTCCTGAGCACTGATTTTATTTTAATTTTATTATTTTTATTTTATTTTATGTGTATGAATGTACTGTCTGGATGTTATGTAAGTGCACCCATGTTGTGCAATGCCCATGGAGGTCAGAAGAGGGTGTTGGATCCCTGGAACTGGAGTTACAGATGGTTGTTAGATGCCATGTGGGTGCTGGGAATTGAACCTGGGTCCTCTGCAAGAGCAGCCAGTGTTCTTAACCACTGAGCCATTTCACCAGCCTTTGATTTTATTAATTTCTAAATGAAATAATATTGTTTAAAACAAAAGGAGAACTAAAGTTTGATTTCGTAGTTCTGGCTATTCAATAAATTTATCTCCTACAAAATTTCTGGGATTGATTTAAGGTGAGGTTGCTTCTGAAACATTATAACTGGGACACAGAGGATCTTATGTTTAATTTATAAACAATGTATCTCATATAGAATGTGATTGTCCAGTAGTCAGGCAGTCAAACTGTTCTTACTACTTTAATTTTATCCTTCCTTTGTTGCCCTTTTGAAGTCAGCCATCTTGATCAACTTTCCGAGTAGAAATAAATGACAACTAGAACAAGACAGGTGTTCTAGTTACTTTTCTATTGCTGTGATAAACACCATTACCAAAATCAACTTAGCGAGGAAAGGGCTTTTTTGGCTTACAGGTTGCAGTCCATCATCAAAGAAGTCAAGGCAGGAACCCAAGGCAGGAACCTGGAGGCAGGAGCTGAAGCACAGACCACTGAGGAACACTGCTTACTGGCTTGCTCTCCTGGCCTGTGTGCAATCTGCTTTCTTATATAACCCAGGACCACCTGCCCAGGAATGGCACCACCTGCCGTCAGCTTGGCCCTCCCACATCATTCAACAATCAAGAAAATGCCCACAGGTCACTCCAATAGAGGAAACTCCCCAGTTGAGGTTCCCTCTACCCAGGTGTGTTAAGTGGACAACTGAAGCCAACTATGAAAACAGGAAAAGAGTAGATAAGTTTATGAACTGCTAGAAGAAGTCCATATTGTTCATGTTGGTAGCCCTTAAAGATGCATCACAGGGTTTTGCTCACAATGGAGTTAAGGTTATGTTTATTTATTTGTTTACTTTTGTGGTGTTGAGGAGCCTACCTAAGATCTTGTAAATGCTAGAGTCTATCAAGGAGCCACATCTCATTGTCATTCCTTTTTAAAGTAAGAAGTTAATTTTTTTGAGTGGGTATTTGTGTACGTGTACACACATGTATGTATCAGGTGAAAATCTGCTTCCTTGAAGCTTATTTTATTCATATTTTAGGTTGTCTTATATCTGGAACTATGAGGAATAACAATTTTCTCATTTTGTCATTCTAAGTCTTTTCTCTCTCTCTCTCTTTTTTTTAAAAGTTTTACTTTTTCTGTGTATGAGTGTAATGCCTGCTTGTATGCAAGTGCACCCACGTCATGCAATGCCCACAGAGGTCAGAAGAGGGCATCAGATTCCCTAGAACTGGAGTTACCGAGGATTGTTAGCTGCCATGTGGGTGCTGGGAATCAAACTCCAGTCCTCTGCAGGAGCAGTCAGTGCATTTAACCTCTGAGTCATCTCTCCAGCCCCAAGAACAGCAAGTGCTCTTAACCACTGAACCATTTCTCGGAGGTCATCTTGCTTCTTTTTGATTCTGGATCTCATGTAGCCCAGGCTAGCATCAAGCTCACTTTATAGTAGAGGATGACCTTGAGCTTCTGATCTTTTTGCCTTCACTTCCCTAGTGTTAGGATGACAGGTGTGTGCCACTATGCCCAGTGCTCTTAACTGCTAAGTCACCTCTCCAGTCCCTAAATTTTTTTTTTTTAATGAGTATTTTGCTTGCATGTGCCTAAGTGTACTCATTGTGAATAGGACACTGGATTCCCTGGAACTGGAGTTACAGATGTTTGTGAACCTTGTGATCAACCATGTGGGTGCTGGAAACTGAACCTGGGTCTTCTACAAGAGCAGCCAGTGCCCTTAACCACTGAGCCAGCCCTCCAGCCCCTTTCAAGTCTTTTTTCAAATTAAAAATGACCCTCTTCTAAGCTTATTCCTTACCCTGCCATCCAAACTGTGCATCATTTTATCAGTCTCCACCTACTATCTCCTAGGACTCTTATTTGATTTTCAAAGAAAGTACTAACATTTCTTTTTGTTTTTAGACAGGGTCTCCCTAGTTCCAGCTTGCCTGGAACTCACTATGTGGACCAGGATGGTCTCGAGCTCATGGAAATCCGCCAGCCTCTGCCATTTCTTTTTGTTTTTAGACAGGGTCTCCCTAGTTCCAGCTTGCCTGGAACTATGTGGACCAGGATGGTCTCGAGCTCATGGAAATCCGCCAGCCTCTGCTTCCCAAGGGCTAGGATTAAAGGCATTCGCCACCATGCCCGGTGCCTAAAATTTTTTTTATCTCATATTTTTTAGACCTTTACTAACAACTTGCCCTTCATGCCAGCTCTTTCCACTCCTCTTCACCAATCTTGAATAGCCAGATCGGGTAACAAGAGAACATGATCTTTGAATTCAGATAAGTACCTGCTCTTACTGTAAGTATCCAAGAAATAGCAGGTAGTTTGACGTACGGATTTTATTAAGCACTGCTAGAATGGTTCAATTTCTCTTTCAGTATTAAGGCAATTAAGCAAATGCTGTTACTGCTAATTTACTGAGGAAGGAAATGCAAACATAGGATAAACTGCCCAAAGCCACAGGGTGAAAACCCTCGTTTTTCCAGGCAGGACTTGAGTTGAGAGGTCAGGCCGTCACAGCATTCTGCTTTCTTTGTAGATGCTCTGTGGTCCACGTGCTTTTGCTCAGCTGAGCTCCTGGAGCACTGGGCTTGCCGTAGGTTCTCTGTCTTGTTCGATTGACATTTCAGCACAACCCTCGGCTTCCCCTCCTGTGGGACTCTTAAGCTCTCTGGGCTCAAAGATGCAGTCAGACTAGGCAAGACACATTTGGTTTTGACAGCTGTGGACTTAGGAATCGTTCTCTTCGAGGCATAGTGATAGCCCAACATCTTGGAGACTGGCATAGCATCTAAGAAATGGCCACGGGGCACGGGAAGGAGGAGCCATAATTTCCCGGTAGCCGGGGTAGAGCAGGGCTAGGGGTCGCCATCCGCCTCATACTCATCCTCAATCAGCAGGCTTCTGTCTGTAGGAAAAAGCTAGAGCGGCCTTCACTGCGTACCTCAGGGCGGGAGCACGCAGAGACGCACTTTCAGAGCATCCTTCCCCAGGGAGATTCAAGGCCTGTTCTTGCTGTTCTCAAGAGGCTACAGGCGCAGCGCCCGGCCTGTGCACTTGCGCAGTCAGCGGCCTAGCGCCTAGGAATGCGCACGCGCACATTCGAAGAGACGCTCTGCGCCTGCGCAGATGCGATGGCTTGCCACGCTATGCGCCTGCGCACAGCCAGCTTCCCGTGGTTTCTCAGAGGTGGGAGGTTCGGCGTCAAGGCCTGGTTTGTCTCTGTGGCAGAGGAGAGGTTAACTTTAGGGCTCAAGTTGTACAGTGTTGGGGGGTTTTCAGGCCGGAAGACGGTTTGTCGGGCTAGCACCCCGGTCGTGGGTGGGTGCGTCAGCTGTCAGGAGGGGTGGAATGAGTAGAAATTGACTGGAAGGTTCCCCGTAAAGGAGGGGCCCAACCCGGCCTTTTCCGGCCGCCTCTGAGGCGTTGGCCTCGAGGGTGCAGTGTGCTTGCGTATCACACAAAACTTTGTTTTTGTTTTTTGTTTTTCTTAAAGACAGGGTGTCATTACGTAGTACTGGTTGGCTTGTAACTTGCTATGTAGACTAGGCTGTCCTCGGACCGATACAAAGCCTGCCTCTACCTCCCTAGTGCTGGGATTAAAGGCCTGTGCCGCCATGGCCGGCGAGAACTTTATCATTCATTCGTTCACTTTTTTGTTTGCCTCATTGGGCCTATTCAGTTATTTTTTAAAACAAGTTCTGGCCCGCTGTGGTGGCATACACCTTTAACCCCAGTACTCAGGAGGCAGAGACAGGTGGATCTTCGAGGCCAGCCTGGGCTACAGAGTGAGACCTGTCTTAGAAAACAAAATCCAAACCCAAACTACAAACACCCCCCCCCCACACACAATTGGAGCAGGTCGACTAGAGCCTAGGCAGCTTGGGGGTTCACTGCCTTTAAGGTTTAGAGGATGTTGGATTTAGAAACATTTTGTTGCACTGGCCGTGGTGGTCCATCCCGGGGGTCCTAGCATTCGAGTGGCAGAGACAGGAGGGTTAGGAGTTTGAGATCAGCTGGGGTTACATGAGACCCTGTCATACACTCCCTCCATAGTTTTATGATATTTAGAATTGTAGTCGTTCTTGTAAATATTCTTTGGTATAATGAGTTGGTGTTTCTATGTAGAAAAAAATGGCACAATCCCTCTTGCAGTACCTAGACCGATACAAAAATATTTTTTGCAAGCCTCCTATATCCTGTTTTCAAGCTCAGGACAGAAACAAGAGGCAGACCTGGGCCTATTTCCCAAGTTTTATTTTTTGCAAGCAATATTTGGAAATTAACATTTACATGTTTGGCTTGTATCATTGTGTTTACATCTGTCTGTCTTATTGGGTAGTGAATCTGCAGCAGAAATTTATTTGGGTTTATGTCTGGCCTTTTCATGTTATGAAACTAAGAAAAATTACAACAGAAAATGTTGGGAAAAAGTGTTACTTGTTGAAGTTGTAGACAGAGTGGAAACATCATTATTCTGGATATTAAGTGAAGACTTATTTCTTTGGTTGCCTTAAATGGCCAAAGAGGATAATCTGCAATCTTAAACTGGGAAACAGAGCACGTTCTCACATGGACTGCTCAATACCATGTTTCTCTTAAGTTTGCCAGTGGTGTAGTCCATGTCCTTCAATATAGATTTGGTTCAAAATTCTCATGATGAGTCCTGAATTCTGAAATAAATTCCCTAGACTGAAGGAAGCAAGATTATATTCACAACTTATTTTGAGCAGAGTTGGAAAAGATGATGTAAAATTACTACTCATAAAGCAAAGAACTCCTGTTTGTAATTCTAAAAAAATTATGCTAAAAAAATCAAAGGGGCTGGAGAGATGGCTCAGCAGTTAAGAGCACTTGGTGCTCTTGCAGAGGACTTGGGTTCAGTTCCCAGCACCCACAAGGTCGCTAACAACCACCCATAACTCCAGTTCCAGGGGATCTAATGCCCTCTTCTGACCTCTGGGCATTGCAGGACACAAGTGCATTTACGTACATAGAGCCTCATACACATGAAGTAAAAATAATAAAATATTAAAAAAATCAAAGCACTCCCAAAATTGTTTCTATGACCACATTTGGAAGTCTTAAATCATACTGTTCATAATCAGGTTGAGAAGTTGATCTTGTTGATAAATATGAGTTATGTTTTTTTCTTCTTTGAAGCTTTAGTCAACATTTTGTAAATTTCCAGTGCTACATAAAATAGAGACTTTGGTATTGAAGAAAATGAAGAGAAACCTAAATGAAAATTCAACTCGAAGTACAGCAGGTATTGAACAACTTCAAAATTTTCTTGTGTTTTGCACATATCATAAAACCGCATATAGTTTATAAATGGAACATTTTGGAAAGAACTTTTTAAAAGATTAAACATTTATTCTAGTCTCTTTTCTTTTTAGAACCAACAAGGTAAAATAACCAAATCAGGGCAAAATATTTAGCAATATTGATGAGAGTAAAACTAAACACCTTGATTTACTCTGGTGCTTATGGTTTTAGGCTTGGAAACAATATGTTTTTATCTCTGTGATTGAAATCTTCTCAGAAGTACTCCTTTTTCGTAGTGTTTTCTATCATTTCTGTTTTCTCAATTATTAGGTAGTGTAGGACAGAAGTCAGGAGTGATGAGAGCCTGGGTGATTAGGCTGCTCCATGAGGGTTGTAGTAACTATTACTTATGGTGGGCACACCATACTCCTAAGCATTTAATCACAGGTATTTTTTAATCCTTCCCTCCAAGATAGGTTACTATATTCCTGTTTTCTAGATAAGAAACCAAGGCACAAGGACCTTAAAGAAGTAATAAAGGTGAAAAAACAGGATTTGAACCTAGGAATCTGATTTTAGAGTGCATTCTCTTAATCATTATGTTTTTAATCTCTTAAAATATTTTTATTGATCTTTTTGAGAGTTCCATACAACATATTTTGATCATGTCCTCATCTTCCAACAAAGTTTTTCTTTTGTTGTTTAGTTTCCTTTTGTTTATTGAAACATATTTGAAACAGTTGTGATCTTACAGGGAACCCTAAGGAAGAAAACACCGTTCTCTGTACATTTTAGCCAGTGTTCTCCAATGACAACATTTTGCAAAGTTAGATTATTTCTGTTTTTGTGATGGAACCCAGAGCCTTAACCATGCTGAGCTACAAACTCCAGCCCTCGGAATGGTTTTATTTTCTGAGACAGGGTTTTCCTGCAGCTCCATCTGGCCTGGAACTTGAACTTATGGAGAACCACCTGCCTCTCTGCCCTGCCCCTGCCCCGATTAAAGGTATATGGCAGGCTGGAGAGATGGCTCAGTGGTTAAGAGCACTGGCTGCTCTTGCAGAGGACTAGGTTTGAATCCCAGCACCCACATGGTGGCTAAGAGCTGTCTGGAACTTCAGTTTCAGGGATCCAGCATTCTCTTCTGTCCTCCATGGGTACTGCATGACATGGGTGAACTTAGACACATGTAGGCAATGTACTCATACACATAAAAATAAGTTAAAAATTGAAAAAGTTGGCTTATGTTTTGCTCCTCTGTATAAGTCATATGGGCACAAAAGGTTTAAAGAAATTGCTCACATATATAAAGTTGTATTTCAGATTATTGAAGTCATAAATAAAACCCAGGGAACCTGACAAGAGCCTACATAATTTTCCTAGGCATTCATTAGACGGTTTTCAGAGTCAGTATTCTGTTGTACATGGTGATAGGTCAGCTAGACAATGGTAAGTTGTCCAGAGATGTGAACTAAGATTTAGGGAGCTTGGGTCCTGTCTAGGCTCTTTCAGTTGACTTGTTTTGAAGCAGTGAGCAAGCTTTTTGGACCTCTTTTGTCTCTGAATTCCCTTGTATGTTTTAAAGATTTTTTTTTTCTTCATGAGTTATGACTTGATTTGAGATCCTGCTTCTGCCATCTCGGGGAGGTGGAGGTAGTACTTATTTTCATTTGGATTGCATATTGTCATTTTCTTCAAGCATTCTTAAAATAATCCATAGAAAAATATCATTATAGACACTTGGGGTGCTTGTTAAAATTACAGTTTTTGGTTCCAGACCAAAGCTGTTTGTCTTAGTTACTTTCTATTGCTGTGATAAAAACACTGACTAAAACCAACTTGGGGAGGAAAGGGTTTAGTTTGTCTTACAACTCCTGGGTCACAGTTGATCACTGAAGGAGGCCAAGGTAGGAACTAGAACCTGGAGGCAAGAACTGAAACACAGACGATGGAGGAATGCTTCTTACTGGCTCGCTCCCCTGGCCCGTGTTCAGTCTGCTTTCTTATATAACACAGGACCACCTTTCCAGGGGTAGCACCACCCACATCACTCAACAATCAAGAAAATGTCCCATAGACATGGCCATAGGCCAGTCCAGTGGTGACAGTTCCACAATTGACACACTCTCTACTCAGGTGTGTCAAGTTGACAGCTAAATCTATCCAGCACATTATTGAAATAAAATGTACAATACAGGGGTTATGGCCTTGGAATCTACATGATAAGCAGGAATAACATGAAATCTTAGTCAAAATAAGATTCATGATAGCTATGGGCTAAAGCTTTGCTGCTGTAATCCAAAGCATGGGTAGATTTTTGGAAAGCATGGTTCAAAGTTTGGTTCTTTACCTTTGCTGTATTCCACAGCTCCTCTGCAGTTGATATAGTAATAGGTAAGCAAAGGAGTGAACTAAGAAAAGAAAAGGTGGATTTGGGAATTTTTGGAGATAAGAGCAGAGATAGGAATTACTTCTGAACAAGAATTAAAGTGATAAGGTAGAACAAAAAAGGGCTTTTAAGAGAGCAATGAGGCTACTTAGGATTTTTAAAAGATTATAAAAATCAATTCAAGGACATAGAAATATATTTAAGGTATATTAGCATATAAAAGTAGACCTTCAAATATATATTGATAGTAATTCCTGTGTAAGTAGATCTGATTGTTTACCTGTTTTATGCCGATTTCTTGGTACATCCAATGTAGGCTGTTTGCCTGTGCCATTGTTCAATCAGAAAAAGAGGAACAGACAGCCATTAACTTCTAATCCACTTAAGAATGCTCCAGGTATCAGTACTGTTTCTGACAGTTATGATTTTCCTCCTCTACTAACAGGTAAGAAAATGAGTAAGATGAAAATTTTCAGGAAACGAGCACTGGGATTGTAGAAAGTTATATATTTTCTCTTATTGTAAGAAGTGTCATCCATTTCTTTTCACCATCCCAATATAGAGATTACTTGGCTCTTTCTGAACATTCCAGTACGAGGATTTGAGTTGCCTTGTCAACAAGTGTGGCTTAGCATTTAAATGGAGTATCTTATGTCTGGACCCTTTGTTCTAATAAAGTAGTAACCTACATTACAAATACCTTTTTTTCCTTAAAAAAACATGTATAGATATCCCTACTTACATATTTGCTAATAAAGACTGGAAGAGCTTGAGTTGCCTCAGAAACAGGGAAAAGTATGCATGGTATATAAGGGAAAAAAAAACCCACTGTAGAAAGGGCAGAAACCCAGGAATTTCTGGTGCTTGGTCTTAGTCATTTTTCCACATAGTGTTTTTGCATTTCTTCGTTGGCTTTCTTACTCTTTGTTGTGGTCTGAAAATTCATCTGTTGAAACTTAATTGTCATTTAGGAGATGGGGCCTTTAAGAGTTTAAGGTTATGAGGACTCTGCCCTCATGCACAGGGTTCGCGACCTTATAAGAGAGGTATGAGGGAGCTGCTTGCTGCCTCTGCCATGGAGGACCCAGGAGCTATCTATGAAACAGAAAACATGCTTTCACCAAACACCTAATTTATTGTTATCTTGATCTAAGACTTCTCAGTCTCCAGAATTATAATTTTTTTCTAAGTTACTCAGTTTAAGGTATTTTGTTAATAGCATCCCAAGTGGACTGAGGTACTTTCATCTAGTTTGCTTCCTTATAGCTTCAGCTAATACACAAATTGTCATTGTTGAGAGTTTACATAATTTAGCTCTATTCCTCTGAATCAATTAGCTATAGTGCTAAGTGCAGGGAAATCTTAAATGTTTGCTGATTTTCATTTTCATTTTATATTTTTGCTTTTTTTTTTTTTTTTTTTTATTTTTATTTTGTGTGTGTGTGTGTGTGTGTGTGTGTGTGTGTGTGTGTGTGTGTGTGTACATGTACTCAGAAAATATGTGGAGGTCAGGACAACTTGCCAGAGTTTCCTTTCACCATGTGAGTTCTGGAGATCGAACTCTGGTTCTCAGGCTTGGCTACAAGTACACTTACCTGCCGAATCATCTTGCCTACCCAATGTTCATTGACATTTTGTTTCCTCTAGATGAAGACACTGATAGGCAGACATTCTTAGATATATTTGGTATATGTTGGTTATGTATACTTAAATTTCAGGGGCATACTTCAAAATTATTAATTCTTGCTGGGTGTGGTGGCACATCCAGCACTTGGGAGGCAGAAGAAGGCAGATCTCTGCAAGTTTAAGGCCAGTCTGGTCTACAAAGCCAGTTCTAGGCCAGCTGGGGCTATAGGGAGATCCTGTCTCAAAAAGGCAAAAAAAAATAGTTATGTGATTAGAATTATAAACTATCTTTAGATATAGCAATACTTATATTTTTAATTTTATTTAGTGTATTCCCATAGACTTAAATGTAGTCATTAAATTGTTTTTCTTCCACATTAGGAATTTAAAATGTACAGCTAATACTATTCTCATTTTAAATTTAAATTTTATTTTCTTTATTATTATTATTATTATTGTGTGTGTGTAATGTATGTGTATGAGTGCAGGCACATGCATGTCATGATAATGTGTGGAGATTGGAGGACTGTTTGGGAGTCAGTTCTCTTTCCATTGTGGGTTCTGGGATCAAACTCAAGTCATTGAGCTTGCACACAGCAAGGGTTTTTTTTTTTTTAAATTAAAAAAATTATTTTATTTATTATTTTTATTTTATGTGTATGAGTATATTGCCTGCATGTATGTGAGTGCACCCATGTTGTGCAATGCCACGGAGGTCAGAAGAGAGCTTCGGATTTCCCTGGAACTGGCATTAAGGACGGTTCGTAGCCACCAGGTTGGTGCTGGGAATCAAACCCAGGTCCTCTGCAAGAGCAGTCAGTGCTCCTAACTGCTGAGCCATCGCTCCAGCCCCACAGCAAGGATTTTTTTACATGCAGAACCATCTGTCTGGTCCCATTCATATTTTTAGGGATAAAATTAGAAATTTGCCTGAACATAACACAAGTCAGTATTTATCTAGTCATTTCTTGCAAGGATTTTTTTACATGCAGAACCATCTGTCTGGTCCCATTCATATTTTTAGGGATAAAATTAGAAATTTGCCTGAACATAACACAAGTCAGTATTTATCTAGTCATTTCTTGCAAGGATTTTTTTACATGCAGAACCATCTGTCTGGTCCCATTCATATTTTTAGGGATAAAATTAGAAATTTGCCTGAACATAACACAAGTCAGTATTTATCTAGTCATTTCTTGCAAGGATTTTTTTACATGCAGAACCATCTGTCTGGTCCCATTCATATTTTTAGGGATAAAATTAGAAATTTGCCTGAACATAACACAAGTCAGTATTTATCTAGTCATTTCTTGCAAGGATTTTTTTACATGCAGAACCATCTGTCTGGTCCCATTCATATTTTTAGGGATAAAATTAGAAATTTGCCTGAACATAACACAAGTCAGTATTTATCTAGTCATTTCTTGCAAGGATTTTTTTACATGCAGAACCATCTGTCTGGTCCCATTCATATTTTTAGGGATAAAATTAGAAATTTGCCTGAACATAACACAAGTCAGTATTTATCTAGTCATTTCTTGCAAGGATTTTTTTACATGCAGAACCATCTGTCTGGTCCCATTCATATTTTTAGGGATAAAATTAGAAATTTGCCTGAACATAACACAAGTCAGTATTTATCTAGTCATTTCTTGCAAGGATTTTTTTACATGCAGAACCATCTGTCTGGTCCCATTCATATTTTTAGGGATAAAATTAGAAATTTGCCTGAACATAACACAAGTCAGTATTTATCTAGTCATTTCTTGCAAGGATTTTTTTACATGCAGAACCATCTGTCTGGTCCCATTCATATTTTTAGGGATAAAATTAGAAATTTGCCTGAACATAACACAAGTCAGTATTTATCTAGTCATTTCTTGCAAGGATTTTTTTACATGCAGAACCATCTGTCTGGTCCCATTCATATTTTTAGGGATAAAATTAGAAATTTGCCTGAACATAACACAAGTCAGTATTTATCTAGTCATTTCTTGCAAGGATTTTTTTACATGCAGAACCATCTGTCTGGTCCCATTCATATTTTTAGGGATAAAATTAGAAATTTGCCTGAACATAACACAAGTCAGTATTTATCTAGTCATTTCTTGCAATGTAAACTCTTCCTCACCATTTAAAATGTTTTCATAAGTAGCATGAATATTGCCTTTGAAACATTAAAAGCTTGAGCTACTCCATAAGGAAATATTTATCCCCTTGAACTGCTGAGCTTGTTAATCTCTGACCAGAATTACTATCTAATAGAGATATAATAAAATGCTCATGCTAGGGAATAGAAAGGATTATCTCAGTATTTAAAATTTCTCTCTCTCTCTCTCTCTCTCAATCAATCAATCAATCAATCAATCAATCAATCAATCAATCATCTTTTTTACTTTTTAAGACAGAGTCTCACTATGTGCCCTGGCTGACCTGGAACTTGCTATGTAGACTAAGCTAGCCTCACATTCACAGAGATTTGCCTGCCTCTGCCTCCTGAGTGCTGGGATTAAAGGTGCATGCCACCATGCCTGATTTCATCAATATTTTTTTTAAAAAAACGTCCATTAGTTGGTTTGGGATATAACCAATCTTTCAAAGAGAATAGGGCTGGAGATATGGCTAAGTGGCTACTCTTGCAGAGGACCAGGGTTCGACTCCCAGCACTCACATGGTAGCTAACAAATATTTAAGCCCAGTTCTGGGGGATCTTAAGCCCTCTTCTGACCTCTTCAGGCATTGCATGACACAGGTACACTTAACATACATGCAATGAATATACTCATGCACACAAAATAGAGTAACAGAGAACAGAATAGAAAATATTAGGGTTCACCATACATAGTAAGGATTAGATTTGATTTTAAAATTTGTCTCTGCTAGTCTCAGCATCTGTATACTTACAGTTATGATGTATTTCTTGTGGGGGCAAATAAAGTTTTAAGAAACACTGAATTTGACTGAATTTATGTTGCCAATTACAAGATACTATGGTAGGATTGATTGTGGAAAAGGTTAAACTATTATCTTTGCTTAAATACAATAGAGAAGAAAGATATCTATAAGATGATTAGGCAGACTAGGATAAATTCTAGAAAAAACTGCTCCTGAAGACTGTTTCTATCTTCAACTTTTTAAATCTCCAAAATTAAATAAATACAAAGTAAATATTTTGAAGGTTTATCCATCTTTTATCTGTGTTCTTATACTTTTAAGATTGGGCCTGGGAAGCTATGAATCCAGAGGTGGATCCTTTTAAGAAAACAATGAATACGGGGTAGGTGGAAAAATATGAAGTAATATACGTGTATCTTTTACTGCTGTTACTCTTCTGTGTATATTTTTAATTTCTTGATGTGTAAGCAGATTGTATTTAATAAGACATTCTTTTTAAAGGCAAATAAAGCCTTCACCTTCTTTTCCCCTGAGAAGTCAAGATTCTGTGTCTAAATCTATTCAGTCAAATACAGAAAGGAGCCAAAGTAGTTGGAGGTGAGTCTATTCTTCTCATTCCTGTTTCTTCCTCTGACTGCCCTTGCTTTTGAAAAAAATCCCTTTCTCCTTTCTTAGTCAGAATTATATTTAGGAAATTTTTATATTAATAATTAACTGATATTTACATGTAATCTATGCACATCTTCCTGTATACTTTAGGTCATCTTGGATTACATATGCTACATAATACAGTGTAAATGTTACATAGTTGTTATGCTGTATTTAAGGAATAATGAGAAAACAAAAAACAAATGTAGGTTCAGTATATATGTAATTTTTTTCCAGTTTTTAAATTTTTTTCATTGCTTGAGAATTTTGTACATGTGTACAATGCATTTTGATCAAGTCCACCCCCCATTCCCTCTGCTCAAATTCTTCCCCCATAACCCTCACCTCTATTTCTCCCTCAGCTTCGCCATTAGTTGCCTATAGCTCCTTAGCTAAGGGTGGGACTTCATGACCACTTTTCCCCTGCATGCTGGGATTTTTGTCTGGCCAGAGCTTGCTCAGATCTTGTGTATGCTGTCACAATTGCTGTGGGTTTATGTGTTAAACTGTTGTGCCATAAAAATACTGTTTTGTTGTAGTCATTGACCCACTGTGGTTGGTTTAGATCTGTGGATGGGTGTAGAACTTGTGGATATGGAAGGCCAATATTTTTATTGCCTTACAAAATAGTAGGTTTCCATATGAGTTTTTCACACACATTTTATTTTGGTTAACCTTTCCACTCCTCCCACCCCCAGCCCTACTTCCTGTTCTACCCCCAGCATTCCCATCCCTACTTTTATGTCACCTGTATTCTTCTATCCCCATTCCTTGAAGGCACTCTCCTTCTTTGTCTCCTTTCTCTCTTGGCATTTGCAGGTACTGCAAGCTAAATACATAGCCTAAGCAGTCAAAGCTAGGATCCACATATGATTAAGAATACAGCATTTATCTTTCTGAGCCCGAGCTAGCTTATTCAGTGTAATGTTTTCTAGTTCTGTCCATACACCTGAAAATTTCCCAATTTTATTTTTTACAACTTTACAAATCACAAGTTCTCTTAAAATTGGATTTTTCTATTTAAAAATATTCTTATTGAATTTTTGAAATGTTGATACAGTATAATTTGGTAGTATTTAGATCTCCTCATCTGTGCCTCCTCTTACTGCCCCCCACCCAATTTAATATGCATATATATAAAGGCTTATAGAGTTTAATTTGTGTCCCCAAATGTCCTTTAATGTGGGATCATCCACTGGAGCCTGGTTGATCTATCAAGAGTCTCATCCTTGAAAGGGATCTCACCTTTCCAGAAGCCATTGGTTGCCAAAAGTTCCTTGGGTTGGGTTGGGATTTCTTCCCTACTTCCCCTCAAATAAGAATTTTCATCAGTTGTTCCTTAAATATAAAAATACATGGAAAATGTATTTTACTCTTACAGTTACAGAGATGACAGCAGAAATACCAGCTTGAAAACTTGGGATAAAAATGACTTTAGACCTCAGTATAAAGCAACAAAGATAGCAGCAAATGATGGAATAAATTCTTGTTCAATGGCTTTGGGAGCTCAGCAACAGAAACAATTAGGAAGATCTGAAGTTCCTAACTTACCTGGACACGAAGAAACTGAACTACAAACATGTTTATCAAAAATGCCTGGCCCCACAATAAAAGGCCTGGACAAAACCAGTACATTACAGGCATTTAAGCCCAGTTTTCAACAAAATCAATTTAAGAAAAAAATGTTGGATGCCATTCCAGAAATAAACACTCCAAAGGTAAACACTTAAATATTAATGGATGGCTTGTTTACATCCTAAAAATGTATAGTGAATATATGGAGATAAGAGCATTTGAAGCCAATCTCATGGCATATGTGGATTAGTATACGTGGATGGTTTTTTTTCATAGTTGTTTCAATTTCTTACTGGATTCTGGTTTTTACTGCTTTTTAGTTGTTAAGGTAATGACAACTACCATTGCTTGCAGAAATGATTCCAGCTTTTTATTGTGTCATTCTTTTGTTTTTCAACATATATCAGAAATGTTTTCCTGCAGAGTGCCTGACAAATATTGGCTTTATGAGCCCTACTCTCTCTGTTGCAGTTACTTAACCTCACCACTCAGCTCTGTCATTGTAGCTTAGAAGGAGCCATAGATAATACATAACTGAATGTGCATGGCTGTGTTCCAACAAAAATTTGCAAAAAACAGTGGGTTAGATTTAGAGTGCTTTATAATCTGGTTGTGTCCTACCTTCTTAGCCATATGTGCCATATTCCAATACAAAACACTTCTCTAAATCTGGCATATACTACAGTCCTCTCTACTTTGGTTATATTCTATAGAATATGTATCTGCTCCCCAGCCTTGCTTCCTCTCTGTGCACAGTGCTAATTGCTCTTTGTAAAGAGCTTCTATATGTGTGTGCTGGTTATCCTTTGTCTCACTTTTCCTACCACCTAGCCCTATAGATTGTTTGCCTACTCTTCTTTACATTCTGGAAAACTGAATCTTCCTGCATAGTGCATCCTCTGTGATCACTTATTTGCTGGTCAGCCAATGGGAATCACTGGGAGTATCGATATAAAATGGTGGGAGGAGAGGTGGAGATTTCCCATTTTCTCCCTACTTAAGTATTGTGTCAGTAGCAACATTTGAGTCCCTGCCTGACTCAGCCCCTCCATGAGCCCAGTTTTTATGGTCTTGGTATATGCCACCCCTTCCTTTGTCTTTTTGGTCTAGGGGTGATAACAGTTTCTTAATATTAGTGTTTGGGTGCTTCCGTGCTCTGTGTCTGTTCTGTTCGTATCTCAGAAAATAATTGCTTTCAGTAATCCATCAAGCTAAATCCCGTTTTTCTTTCTGGAAATATGACAATACAGCATCTTGTTTTAGTAATTTTCAATGATATATTACACAATAAGGAAATGATATAGTTGCCTTAGTGGCTCACTATGGCAGCAATCTTTTTTTAAAAATTTTAATTTATTTTTATGTGCGTTTGCTTGCATGTATTTGTGTACAAGTGTGCAGTAATCTTGGAGGCCAGAAGAGGGCATTAGATCTCCTGGAACTGGAGTTAGGGACAGTTGTTAGCTGCCATGTGGGTGCTGGGTACTGAACCTGGGTCTTCTGCAAGAGCAGCCAGTGCCGTTACATGTGTGCCCTGTGTGCTACAAGAGAGTGTCCGATTTCCTGGAGCTAGATTTACAAGCAGTTTTGTACCACCTGACATATGTTCTAGGAACTGAGCTTAGGTTATCTGGAAGAGCAGCAAGTTCTCTTAACCTCTGAGCCATTTCTCCAGCCCTTATGGCAATCTTTAAGAGGATTCATAATAGAATCTTGCGTAGGAGGGAGAAAAGGGGGATTTTGAAAAAAGAAAAGTCTCGTTAGACGCTTTTCATAACCCTTACCCTCATGAAGGAAATAGTTCCTTCTACCCTTTAAAGCTAGAATCTGACTGTATTTTCAGATCTTAAAAGGTGCAAACCCAAGTTGGGGCCTGGCATGGATGGGGGATGTGGGCAGGAATCCTCAGCTCTAGCTGAGGATCTATTAGCAGTTGGTAGATGCTGGGTGAGTCAGTTTTCCTTACTGGTGTGACAGCGTAGTTGACCAGACTCCAGGGGATGAATCCATACCAAAGAACACTTAGAAAACAGACTAGACTTGGTAGGTCTTAAAAAGAAGAGAAATATCCAGAGGTGGTAGATGACCACAAGGAAACAGAGTCTTCTAGACAGCTTATCAGTTATACGTATGAACTCATAGTCAAGGTGACTGCATGCACCAATCCTGTGAAAGCTCAAACCAGACAAAAATCCCAGCATAGACATGGGGAAGTGGGCAAGAAATTCCAACCCCAACCCAAGGAACTTTTGGTGTCTGCTGGGAGGGGGAGAGACAGTGTCTTACAGGGATAGGACTCTTGGTAGGCCCAGTGGATGGACTTACATTGAAGGACATTTGGGGACACAAGTCCAACTCTGTAGGCCACATTATATATATGAGAGTGCATTAAATTGGGCGAGGGATGGTGGGGGGAGGTGTGAATAGGGTATTTAAATACCATCAAACTATATTGTATGAAAATCTCAAAAATCCAATAAAAATAAAGTTAAATTAAGAAAGAAGACAAATAATAATAGAGGACATAAAGTTGTGGGGGGCTAGTAATGTGGGAAAGTGGAGATGGAGATCTGAATATGATCAAAATACACTGCATGACATTTTCAAATCATTACAAATATTTTACAGTACCAAGTACATTTCTGTTTAAGGGCCTTATAATGCTAGTCAGCCTCCACCTAACTAACCCATTAAAAATAACCTTTTATCCTGTTATTTTTCAAGCATAGACGATATCAATTCTTAATGTACTATTATTTATTGATTGATTCATTCTATGAATCCCCTTTCTGATATAAATTGTGTGAGAACAGGTACCTTCTCTGTTTTGGTCACTACTGTTACCTTAGTAGCTTTGGTACAGAGTAGATGCCCCAAAAGCACTAACACTTTTTAAAATTGGTATATATTAATTATACAAAACAGTGGGTTTTAATATGACATTATTGTACAAATGTATAAGGTACTTTGATTATATATTTTTGTTTTTTAAAAAATATTTTATGTTATTTTTATTTTATGTGTATGAGTGTATTGCCTGTATGTATGTGATTGAACCCGTGTTATGCAATGCCTCGGAGGTCAGAAGAGGGCTTCGGATTCCCCTGGAACTGGAGTTAAGGACAGTTCGTAGCCGCCATGTGGGTGCTGGGAATTGAACCTGGGGCCTCTGCAAGAGCAATCAGTGCTCTTAACCACTGAGCCATCTCTTCAGCCCTGGTACTTTGATTATATTTGCCTTCCTCCTTTACCCACACATTATCTCCCACATCTCCTTTTGGTCCCTTTCTATTTTCATGCTCATTTTTCTTCAGATTCTAGAAAAAATGCTTTAGAGGTGAATGAATGAATGTGTCTGGCTCCCACTACAGTATGAACTAATTAGGGAAGGAATTGTTTTACTTATCTATGTGTTCTAGGATGCTTATTCAGCGAGCAAGTAAATGAGTGGGTGATTAAATAATCTTCTTTTAAAAAATAATGTGTGTGTGTGAGCATGTATGTTGAGGTCAGAGGACAACTTTGAGGGTCTGGTCTCTCCACTCTTATGTGTGTTCTGGGGATCAAACTCTGATTAATCAGGCTCATGCAGCAAGAGATTTAGCCACTGGGCCATCTTGCTGGCCCTATAATTCTTTTTTTTAATAAAAAATACATTTTTATTTTCTTTATTTTTATTTTATGTGTATGAGTGAGTTATGTGCATGTAAGTGCATTCCTGTTGTGCAATGCCTGAGGAGGCCAGAAGAGGGTGTTGAATTCCCTGGAATTGGAGTTAAAGATGGTTGTTAGCTACCTTGTGGGTGCTGAGACTCAAACCCAGGTCCTCTGCAAGAGCAGCCAGTGCTCTTAACTGCTGAGCCATCTCTCCAACCCCTATAATTCTTGATTGCCTCCAAGATCATCCTGGTTTTCACACTACAGTGCAGTAATGATGGGGGAAGTAATTGCATTGAATCTTCCCGTAGTTCTTTTTGCACATTCTACACATTTACTTAGAAAGTAAAAAAAGAAAGTACAATGAATAAAATGAAACATTTTTCTAATGCTTTACTTTATATTTTTCCAAAGGAAGCCTCCTTGTATCAGTTACAGTTTAAGGAAAAAACCAATTCTTTAAGAGTTATTTCTGCAGTTATTGAAAGCATGAAGTACTGGGGTGGACATATGCAGAAAACTCTACTTCTTTTTGAAGTATTGGGTAGGTATGATATTTCAGAAACACTTCAGTAATAATATTGGACTTTTTAAAATGACAATAGGAATACCTATGGTATCGTCAAGAAAAGTAGAATATGAAAAAAGGAGATTATGGTTTATTAAGGGAAACATAGGCTGACCTCAGAATAACAGATGTCTACTACCATTACTCAGAAGGTGTTTATTAAGTGAATGAGTAATAGTTATTGATAAAAGTTTCTGAAGATAACATTCTTCAGGGAAGGCTGGGGCAATGCTGTGCTCTCCCCTGGTCTAATATGGTCATCTCTATGTGGCTCTTAGTCGCCGCCTTAAATTAACTACATTAAGCAGGCCACAATGCCTGGGTGTTTTATTAAGGGATATTTTATGGGGTAGCTTATTAATTATCAGGAATGAATCAAGGGACGGGGCTTCTGGGGATAATTTAGATTGAAAAGATGGGCGTACCAAAGAGGCCGTTTTATTAGGACATTGAAGCTTAAAATAGAAAGATGTGTTATCTGACTCATCCCCTGGGGATCACACTGAATTTGTTTCTTCAGCTTCTAAACTTTGCCTAGATCTTAAAAGCATCCTTTCCAAAACACCTAATTATTACTAGCCTTAAAAATTTTGGTTTTATTCCATTATTTATATGACATTTTGGTTTTCCTTTCCCCTCTGTGTTTTTAAACTTTTGACATTCACTAATAAAGTAGTTGTCTGTCTTCCTTACCAGTACTTTCCTTCCTGAAGCAGTGCTTTAGCACTGCAGGTTATTCAAATGATGGAACTGAGCATTACTACTAAATTTAGATATTAAACTCATCATTTGCTACTATTAACCAAAATTTCATAGACAAAAGAGTGCTTGAGGGTTGCAATGGAAGATAAAGGGAATAAGGGTAAAACCCACATAATGCATGGTTTCTACGTTGTTTTACACAGAGCCATCAATGCCATTTTTTAAAAATTCAAATCTAAGGCCTCTTTCCTACTCATCAGATTTAACGAATTCCCACAGTCAGTTGGAGGAGCAGGAGAACATTGACAGTTGAGGGCATGAAACTCTAGAGTTAGACAGGGTTTAGTTCCGATTGCCTTGTTTGACATTCTGTCCTCAAACATGACAACTAACTTCCCTGTGCCTTTCAGTTTCCAAACTGGTAAAATTGTACCAATACTGCTCGCAGTAAGGATTGTTCAGATAGTGTAGTAGTTAAATTAAGTGAATTCATACCAGTAAAGATTATAGGACAAATCCTAAAAAAAAGTTTCTGAAGCTAAATATAAATTAGGATTTGCATTTTATAGAAGAAACAACTTCGTAAGAATTTGGAGAATTTTCTTAGGGGAAGGAAATGGTGAGATGTAGATGAAAAATACAGACTTGCAGTTTTAGGTCATGATTAAGTCTCAGGAGGACTGTAATAAATACATGATGAAAATTTGCTACAAAAGTAGATCTCAGCTATTTTTACTGTACCCAGAAATGTAACTGTGCAATGTTTTATATATATATGTGTATATGTAGTATATATATATATATATTTTAGTATATCAGGTGCTTACTTAATGGTTTGATTATCTATCTATCTATCTATCTATCTATCTATCTATCTATCATCATCTCTCTATCTATCTATCTATCTATCTATCTATCTATCATCATCTCTCTATCTATCTATCTATCTATCTATCTATCTATCAATCAATCAATCATCTATCTATCTGATAATCTTATCTATCTACCTATCTTGCTGACATCTTAAATGCATATGTTTCACTTAAAAATGGAATAAATCAGTTTGGACAATGTCATCACAAAACATTACTAAGGTCAAGACTTGGTGCCAGAACTCTTAATTCACTGTTTTATTTTATTTTTTATTTTTATTTTTACTAAACTATGATGTTTATTATAATAGTGTGTTTTATTATTATAATCTATTCTGTGAATTTAACCAGTTTATGGAACACATTGAAAGGATACAATTTCTTCTTAAAATATCTTCTTTATTACTATGTAACTTGAACTGTGAGAGGTTTGGGTGGAAAGATACTTAAATATACTTCTTTTCATTGCATTTTATTTATATTTTACTAATGTTAATTTTTCTTTCATTTCAATGTTGCTTAGCTGTCCTGGATTCAGCTGTTACACCTGGCCCATATCATTCAAAGACTTTTCTTATGAGAGATGAGACAAATATTATGCAATGTGTATTTTATGAAATTGTGAGTATTTTAAAGTATTCTTTTGCAAAGCCTATGCTAGCAAAACATAAAAATGTAGGCTATAATTCTATTACAGTAGAAATTCTGATAAAAATTTCTTAGTTCTTTAAAAATATTTTATTGAGTTTTTGTGCATTTCATATAGTAGATCTTAATCAAATTTAGACCTTCCCCCATCTGTGTACTCCCACATTCCCCCCCTCCACTGGATTTATTAGTTTTGAAACATTTTATTTGGTTTTAGTTCTGGTATTGGAGTTGTTTATTTTGTTAACTACTATGGACATTCTCTTGTATGCCAGAGACCCTTTTTCAATAAATAGAGCATGATCAAGGAAGATACTTGATATCAACTTTGGGCTTCTGCATGTAAACTCACATGTACTCACACACATGCACGTCCCATGTACACATGGGAATGTGCATGCATGTGCACACATACCACACACACACGTAAAAATAAAAAAATAAAAATTAGGATCCACATGAGACAAAATGAGATTTAAAATTTTAAAATTTTTAAAAAAATTAAAAAAAATATATCTTTATTGAATTTTTGTGCATTTCCTGTCATACATCTTAATCATATTTAACCCCCACTTCTCTATCTGCACCCCCCCATAGCCTACCCTCAGAACTTCATGCATTTTGTCATATATGTTAAGGCCTGTCATGTCAAGTTTGTGTACACATATCCCTCCATATGAGTTCATTCACTGGAGCCTGTTCAGCCTGTCTAGCATCACTCCCTTAAAGAAGATTAACTCTCCCTCACCCAACATCTATCAGATGCCAATAGTTCCTTGCCAAAGGAACTCTATGGTCTCCTGCCCATTTCCCCAGTTCTATGCTGGTTTTGTCTGATTTGATTTTGCATAAGTCTTGTGCATGCTGTTATCATTGCTGTAAATACATATGAGCAAGGTCCCAAGAGCCTATAAAACTCTGTTTCCTTATGGTGATGTACCTCCTCTCCTGGCTCTTAAAATCTTTCCACCCCCTCTTCTGATAGGACCTCTGAGTTCTGGGTGGGTGAAGTTTAATATAGGAATCCTGTTCAGGGACCCACACTCTACAGTCTCTTATTCTCTACACTTGGCAAGTTATGGCCTTTTGTGTTCATTGCTATTTATTGTATGAGGGAACTTTGCTGATGAGAGTTGAGAGATGTATTAGTATTCTTTCTACCCCTTGTTCCACTATGTTCCGTGAGCCTTAGGTGTAGAAGTTCCATTGTCGATGTGTCACTTAGGACTGGGCATCTCACAGACACTTATTTTCTGTGTGACCAATTGTGGAACTCTGTAATAGTCTCCGTCTGTTGCAAAAGAAACTTCTTTTAAGAGTGGTGACTGGCAGCTGGGTGTGGTGGCACATTCCTTTAATCCCAGCACTTGGGAGACAGAGGCAGGTGGATCTCTGTGAGTTCAAGGTCAGCCTGGTCTACAGATCGAGTTTCAGGCCAGCTGGGGCAATAGGGAGGTGTTGTCTCAAAAAGACACCCCCCCAAAAAAACCCCACAAAAAATAAAAAAAACCAAAACCAGAGTAATGACTGACAAACTTGTCTGTAAATATAAGGATCCATATTTACGTATAGTAAGACATTTTATTTGTCTAGGGATGTGACAGATTTAGGGTTTTCTCTAACATCTATGACTTCTCTAAGCCCTGTGTATTTGGCTATTTACAGCATCACACATGAGTTCCCTCCTATTGAATGGGCTTTAAGTCCAATTAGGTAGCCATTGATTACCCCCAAGATAAAAGTGTCATTGCTGTATAATATAGTTTGCTGTGCTGGTTGTTGTTGTGACTATTGGGGTTGGACCATTGATGTATTTTTCTCTTAGCAGCTTTCATAGTGTCCTCTAAAACTTTGTCCTTTAAAACTCTTCAGAGAAGCTTGCAGGTCAGTTTCAGCTCCATTTCTCTAAGTCCTGGGTCCAAAGTATGTCCTATCTTCAGCAATAGAGTCTTACTTTTAAGTTCTGGCAGATAATTTTGGGAATCTCTTAGACTGTGCTGACCGACAACTTAAAGGAAGGTTTCTTCTGTATGGCACTGTGTTTCTTGTTACATAGCCTTCAGCTATACACATGTACTCATGAACAGACATTGTATATGTATTTTTTCAGTAGGCTTTTGAAGTAATACACTTCCCTCTGGTTTTTCACACCAGCTAATCCTAATCATTGCTCTTTGTGTTCAAGGTTGCTTTGGCTACCTGGGGTCTTTTGTGATTCCATATGGATTTTAGGACTTTTTTAAAATTCTGTGAAGAATGTCTGGGGGATTTTGATTGGCATTGCATTGACTATGGATTGCTTTTGGTAGGATGATCATTTTTACACTATTAATTCTACCAATCTATGAGCACAGGAGGTCTTTCCATTTCCTGGTGTCTTCCTCAATCTCTTCAAAGAATCAAAATTTTTGCTGTAGATATCTTTAATGTCTTTGATCAGTTTTTTTTAGGCTGTTGTGAATGGGAGTGTTTCCATGAACTCTATTTCTGATTGCTTGTTACAGGTGTGTAGATAGGCTACTGATTTTTGTAAATTGATTTTGTAACCTGTCACTTTGCTGAAAGTATTGGTCATTTCCAGAAGTTTTGTGGAAGAATTTTTGGGATCTCTCATATATAATATATCATATGCATAGATGGATAATTCGACTTCCTTTTTTCCAATTAGTAGTCATTTAATTTTCTTCTCTTGTTATATTACTCTAGCAAGAGTTTCGAGCACTATATTGAAAAGGAGTGGAGATAGTGGACAGCCTTGTCTGGTTCCTGATTTTAATGGGAATACTTCTAGTTTTTCTCCATTTAGAATGATGTTGGCTCTGGGTTTGTTGTATATAGCTTTAATTATGATGAGGTGTGTTCCCTGCAGTCCAATTACCTCTAGGACTTTTAACATAAGTGCATGTTGAATTTTATCAAAGGCCTTTTCTGCACCTATTAAGATGACCATATGATTTTTGCTTTTTAGGTCGATTTATATGATTTATTGCATTTATTGACTTACATATATTGAACCATCCCTTCCTATTCTAATGTTCCTTCTTTCCCCCTTTATATCACCATTTTTTTGTCTTTTTGAGACAGGGTCTCTCTGTAGCCTTAGCTGGTCTGGGACTCACTATGTAGACCAGGCTGGCCTTGAACTCACAGAGCTCTGCCTGCCTCTGCCTCCCAAGTCCTGGGATTAAAGGTGTGTGCCACCAATCCCAGCTTATATCACTATTTTTTGAAAAGTAATTTTTATCTTTCTGAGTCTGGATAACCTCACTTAATGTAATATATTCCACATCTATAAATTTTCTTGTAAATTTCATAATTTTATATTCTTAAGTATTTTATTAAGATTATAATTTAAAAAATTTGTACTTTTTGAGAATTTTATCACGAGTATTGATTTCATCTTTATAGCTAAATAAAATTATATTGTGTATATATTAATTTTCATTATATATTCTTCTGTTAATGGACATTTAGGTTGGCTTCATTTCCTTGTTACTGTGAATAGTGCATCAATAAATATGGATGTGCAGATATTTTTGTGGTAGGATGTGGAGTTCTTTGGTTATATGCCCAGCATTGCTCTGCTGGGTCATATGATAGTTCTATTTTTAACTTTTTGAGGCATCACTGTACTGATTTCCATGGTGGCTGCACTAGTTTACATTCCAACCAACAGTGAATAAGGATTCCTCTTTCCTCATACTCTCTGGCAGCATTTGTTGTCAATGGCTTTATCATTTGATCATAGCCATTCTGACTGGGATGAAATGGAATCTCAAAGTAGTTTTAATTTGCATTTCCCTGATGGAAGGTTGTAAAGTAAGTGTGTGTGTGTATGATCAAGTACATGAAATTGGGCAGGGGGTTGTAAGAGGGGGCTTAGGGGATCTACATATGATCAAAATATAAGAAATTTGCAAAAATTAAATAAGGAAAAATATTTACTGGCCATCTGGTTTTCTTTTTTTTCATTAGTCTGCTTATTGATTGGCAGGTTATTTGGTGTTTAATTTTTGCAGTTCTTTATATATTCTAGATATTAGCCTCCATCTAAGGTATTTCAGGAAAAGGTTTTCTTTCCTTCTGTAGGCTGTTTGCTCTGCTGGTAGTTTTCTTTGCTGCACAGAAACTTTAACTTCATATAGTCCTATTTGTTGGTTCTTGGGAACTATATCTTGTGCTATTGGAGTCCTGTTCAGAAAGCTGTTGCTTATGTCAATAACTTGAAGCATATTTTTTGTTTTCCTCAAGTAATTTTATCATTTAAAGTTTGAAATTCAGATCTTTGCTCAATTATGAATAGATTTTTGTGCAGAGTGAGAGATGTAGATCTAATTTTATTCTTCAGGGGAATCCAGTTTTGCTAGCACCATTTGTCTCATTTTCAGTGTATATTTTTGGTGCCTTTGTCAAAAATTAGGTGATCATAGCTGAGTGCATTTATTTCTGTCTCCTTTATTCAGTTCCACTGGTCTACAACTCTGTTTTTGTGCTAATGTCCATGTCTCTGTCATTATAGTTCTGTAATATAATTTGAAGTCAGGTTAGGATTGTTTTGGCTATGCATGGTCTTTTGTGTTTCCATATGGATTTAACAATTTATTATTTTTATTTTATGCATATGAGTGTATTGTCTGCATGTAGGTTAAGTGTACACGTGTTGTGCATTGCCCACGGAGGACAGAAGAGGCCATCAGATCATCTGGAACTAGAGTTACTGACAGTTGTTAGTTGCCATGTGGGTGCTGGGATTCGAACCCAGGTCTTCTGAAAGAACAACCAGTGCTCTTAGCTGCTGAGCCATCTCTCCAGCCCCTCCATATGGATTTTTAGCGTTGATTTTTCTAGTTCCCACAAATAAATTTTAATCAAAGTATTTCATCCAGCTATGCTAGTTGTTCTTCAGCAGAATTGTTCTGAAACCCCTGTCCTATCATACTGCAAGTATAATGCTGATAAAAGTGTGTAATTCATGAACTATTACACTGGGAAATATTGGTTTTCAGGGAGTAGCATCTTGCTAACTTTTATCCAAGTGTTAAGGCCTTTCCCCTGTGAAGAAGTATTTGTATATACCTAATGATCTTGTAAGCAGTGCAGCTCTAACTCAGTTGAAGGAATGGCATCATTAGGGTGATTGCTATTTAGATAATCATATTATTAATTAAAAATAGAAATTGAGATGAAGTGAGAAATAATTTTTGGCTTTTTTGTTTTGAAAAACAGGATCGTGAACTTCCAAGACTGATTAGAGGCCGAGTTCACAGGTGTATTGGACACTATGACCCAAAGAAGAACATTTTCAAATGTGTTTCTGTCAGGCCAGCTTCTGTTTCTGAACAAAAGACTTTCCAAGCATTTGTTAAAATTGCAGATGATGAGATGAAGTATTATACTAAAGTAAAGAATGAACCTTAAATAGTGACAAAGGGGGGTTAAACAGTATAAAATGAAGCATTTGTTGTTATTTGCTCTTTGCACAGCTCTATCACTGTTTTTTTCATTTCTTGAATTAAAGTTTTAAATTTAAATAAAATTTGTATTAAGCATGGAGTTTAAAAATCAGAAATACATTTTCTTTTTCAATTGAAAATTTGAGATTTTCATACAATATAATTTGATGGAATTTCTCTCCCTTTATGCATACCCCCCTTTATTGCACCCTGCCCACTTCACTGTACTTTATTACATACACACAACCCTATAGAGTCTAATTTTTGTCACTGAATGTCCTTTGGTGTGTGTCCATCCACTGGAGCCTGATTAACCTACCAGGATCTCATCCTTGAAAGAGACTGTCCCTGCCCCTCCAAGCAGCCATCAGTTGCCATAATTTCTGTATTCCCTCCCTCGTGTCTGTGCTGGGATTTTTTCTGGTTTGCACTTGAATGGGGTTTGTGCATGCTGTCACTCTTGCTGTGAGTTCATATGAGTAACTGATCAGCTCTCTGGAAAACTCTGTTTCCTTGTGGTCATCTACCACTTCTGAATCTTACAATCTTTCTGCCCCTCTTCTGCAATGATCCCTGAGCCTTGGGAGGCAGAAGTGTGATACAGGTGTTCTATTCAGAGATAAGCACTCTGAAGCCTTTTGTTCTCTGTATACTGGCAGTTGTGTGTTTCCATGTTAATCACTGTTTACTACAAAGGAAACTATTCAGGTGTTTATAGGTACAACAATAAGTCATTAGAAGTGAGTTTAATATGTTAACTATTTAGTAGAAAACTAGTATTAGGTTTCTGTATTCTGTGACCTGTCTAGCCTCAGGTTCCTAAGCCTGATATCAATGTCAGGTGTGGGCTGCATCCTATGAAGCAGACCTTAAATCCAATTAAAGAGTGGTTGGTTGTTCCCATAATATTTGTGCCACCATTGCACTGTTAGGCATATCTTGCCAGGCCAGTTCTCATTATAGTTCACAGGATTCATAGCTGGGTGGGGTTAATGACTATTTTCTCCTTCTATTAGTATGCATAGCACCTTCCAGCACTATGAATGCTAGCCAGTAGAGATGAGGCTCTGAAGTCAGCACCGGCTTTATTTCTCCTTGTTTGTTCTATAGCTCATGAATGTAGTGTCTTTAGAAATAGGGTCTTACCATGCATTTCTGGTGGGTACCCAAGAGCAGGAGCAATGGCCAGTATTATTTAAGGGTCTATGGGACCTGGTCAGCAGCTTCTAGAGAGGGAATCCATTCCTGGAATTGGGTTTTTTTGTTGTTGTTAGCCTATGATGTCTAGAAGGGGCAGTGTTCCCCTGTTAGAGGGTAACTCCTTTTAATGTTTTTATAATGTCCATGTATCTACTTCAAGAAGCTTCTATAGTGGCATGTTTCCATTTGTTTTTTTTATTTTTTAAAAATGTTTTAAATATGTGTTTGGTTGTATTTCCTGCATGTGTATAGGTGTACCCATGGCATGCAGTGCCCATGGAAGTCAGAAGAAGGTGTTGGATTCCCTGGAAATAGAGTTATGGATGGTTATTAACCAATATGTGGGTGCTGGGAATAGAACGCAGGTCCCCTGTAAGAGCAGTCAATGCTCCCAACTGCTGAGCTATCTCTCCTGCCTCTCCATTTGGCTTTTTCTAAAGGACTTTAGTGTTATTTATCCCTCCCCTACTCCCTCTGCTCTGCCCTATCATTCCCACCCCATCCAACCCTTCCTGCTCTAATGTTCTGCTTTTCCCCCTTTATATCACTGGTTTTTAAAAAGTAATTTTTCTATTTTTGCCAAAATTCTGCATTTACTAAAATTTAGCAACTTCAGGTAAAAATGCTCACTGTAATAAATATAAATAGATACTACTTATATTTGGTTTTAGAATGTCAAAAATCTATAGTAGGTGTTTCTTTAACATGGGATAAGAATACACTCGAGGCAGTTCCAAACCAGTCTCAGACTTGAAGGGCAGTAGTAGAGGCAGTCCCACTATCAGGAGCAAAACAGCTATCAGTACTATTAGTAAGCATTATTCTGGAATGGTTAGTTTAAGCAAGTCATTTAGTTCATCTTTTAAGATCCCAAGAACTAAGCCTATCCCATTACATACCATTCTTCTAACTACAGTTCAGGGGAAATGTTAACTAAAGGATTTAAAAGACACCTGCTTAATGTGGTTTGAAGCTCTAAAAGGCAGTTGTTTGTATAGAGGCCCCTGGCTGTGTGGCTTTCAGTTATGGTTCAACAGTGATGTCAGGGAGGCTCCTCCTCCTTGATTACGTCTTTCTCATTGGTGTCTTATCCCCTTCTTTTCTGCCCTTCTCGCTTTTGAATGAACTTCTACAAGCATATCCTAGCTGATCTCTTTCCTTGGTTTACAGGATGGGAGTTAGAGTAATCATACCTCCTGAAATGTTTTAACAACAGGGAAAATGTCCAAACTCTAGTGCTAAACTTTTTGTTTTTTTTCCACCAACCACACCTCAGTCTTCTGCCATACTAACCTATGCAGCATTTCTCAGTCTGAAATGCTTCTCTCTTTTCTGCATTTTTATTAAAATCACTTGATTTTTATGTGTTAACGACATGTTTGGCTCGTAAGTAAAACACAAAACAATGAGTTCTCATGTCATCCTTGGCCAGAGCCCATTTCAGTCTTCACATACTCCAAAGTGAAGTAAGCCCTACTTTATAAATATAATGAGAAGTTACTCTATGCAAGTGCTAGAATCAAAGTATTAAAAAATAATAATAATTAGGAGTACTAGGAAGGTTGGTGTACTCTCCAGTAGAATTTGGTATGTGCTCTGAACTAGGGACCTACAATGGTGGTGTTTTCCCCATAGCCTGATTCATTCAGTCTGGGAACTAAAAGGATCACGGCAGTACTGATTATTAGGCCAAATAATGTTCTTAACAGGATTTCTACTTCCCACCCCCATAACTTTGGATGCTATCAGTTTAGAGATCTCAGTCCACCTAGTTGCGTCCTCCTTGATTATGTCATAGCCATAGATGCTTAAAGAACAGACACCTCTTGCAGAGGAACCGGGTTCAATTCCCAGTACCCACATGGCCGCTACAACCCATCTTTAACTCCAGTTCCAGGGGAATCTGAAGCCCTCTTCTGACCTCTGTGGCATTGCATGATACAGGTGCACTCACATACATGCAGGCAAGACACTCATACACATAAAATAAAATAAAATATTTAAGAAAAAGACACCAAGAAAAGTCATATTTGCATGTTGCACACATCTGCACACATCCATGTATTCGTTTCTCAGCAACTTGTCCTTTTCTGACCTCTGCTTTTCCTCTGTCACAGTGCCCAAATTGTTGCAGAACATGCAGAGCCAAGTGCCTGCCATCCCCTATGCAGGATGATGTGGCCATCTGCTTCCCCCTACACTACACCAGCATCATGAGCCCCAGGCTCTGTGCCTCTCTAGTGCTTCTGTCCTGGGTGCTGACCACATTCCATGCTATGCTGCACACCCTGCTCATGGCCAGATTGTCTTTCTGTGAGGACAATGTGATCCCCCACTTTTTCTGTGACATGTCTGCCCTGCTGAAGTTGGCCTGCTCTGACACCTATGTGAACGAGTTGGTGATATTCATCACAGGAGGCATCATTCTTGTGATCCCATTTGTGCTCATTATTGTGTCCTATGCACGGATTGTGTCCTCCATTCTCAAAGTTCCTTCTGTTCGAGGAATCTGTAAAGCCTTCTCCACCTGTGGCTCCCATGTGTCTGTGGTGTCACTGTTCTATGGGACAATCATTGGTCTCTACTTGTGTCCATCAGCTAATAATTCAACTGTGAAGGAGACTGTCATGGGCATGATGTACACAGTGGTGACTCCCATGCTGTACCCCTTCATCTACAGCCTGAGGAACAGAGACATGAAGGGAGCTCTGGGCAGAGTTATTTGTAGAAAGAAAATTTTCTTCTGCATATGATGGCAATGATAGAGATTATTGCATATTTGTATTCAGTAGCTATTGATTTTTTAAAATATAATTCTCTTGCAATTAAAACAACTGAAATAGAACTGTCTAGTTGATGTAGGCTTTCATAATTTGCTTGGAGAGTTTTCCTATATGTTAATTCTAGGTGACCAAAAAAGGAATAATGCAAAATCTCTGAGTTGAATGTTCTGGTCCAGCAAGATGGCTCAGCAGGTAAATGTGCTTGCCACTGAGTATGACAACCTGAGTTCAATCCTGGGAACCTACATTGTGAAGGGAAGAACCAAATCTTGCGCATTCTTCTCTGGCTTCCATGTATGGTCTGTAGCACACACACATACAATTATACACACACACACACACACACACACACACACACACACACACACTGTAAAAGTGCTTTTCTCTTTCTGTTAAAATGTTAATTTTTGGTCAGTATTTCAAAATCCACAACTCATTTGAATCATTCTCTCTTCCCTCATGGCAATACTATGTCACAAGTGGACTTTCCATTGTTGAATAAACTGGATTTTTCATTGTTCAATGAAACTCTTCAGTCTTCCCTTCCTGAGAAAATGTTCACATCATTCTTTTCATTGATCCTCATTACTCCTCCCCGTTTTTAGTGCTGTACTGCCTTTTTCAAAACTTGATTTATTCTCATTTTTGTTGTATGTATATAAGTGTGTGGGTGCACCTGTGTCATGCAATGCTCTTGGACGTCAGAAGAGGGCATCAGTGACATTGCTGCAGTACAGATCATCTCCACTTCCCAATTTTAACTTTATTCCCTTGTAGAAGTAGAAGATAAGACCCTATTGCTGAAGACAGGACACACATGAGACTTGCATTGGGGCTGGAACTGACCTAGAAGCCTCCTCCCTGAAGACTAGCTCTCATAGTATCTGAGGATACTGTACAAGCTGCTAAGGAAGAAAATCAATCAATGATGGAACCCAGCTGTAAAGCCTAATAAAGTAAGAAATTAATTTATCTAGGAATGTGGCAAAAGTAGGTTTTTCTCTAGGATCTATGACCTCTCCAGCCACGTGTATTTGGC